TGACTCACAGCGACCGTGGTGATGTGATGGGTGGCACAGAGGGCTGCGAAGCACAAGGTCAGCAGTTCCAAACCACCAGCCAGTCAACAGGAGAAAGCAGAGGATGTCTGTTCCTGTCGAGATTTACAGTTTCAGCAATCCATAGGGGGCAATTCTACCCTATCTGATAGGGACCCTATGCATTCCATGAGTGCACTTCCTGGTGAAAGTCTGACTTCCTGCCATGAGGGTTGTCTTCCTTGCATTGGAAAGGGTCCAGGTGGTGCTGTGGGTGAGTGTTGGACTACTCACTGCAAGCTCAGCGCTTCAAATCCACCAGCCGAAGCGTGGGAGAACAGGGAGCCTGTCTACTCACCTGGAGATTTACAACCAGGTCTGATTCCTGAGCTTCAGGGGCAAGAAGTCAGACTTCCACCAGAAGTGTACTCATACCTGGAGGTTTTTTTGAATTAAAAAGAATCCATACATGCAATCTCACATTCTTAGTTTGTGGAGAGCTTAGAAAAAGCTGTTGTGTGTTTTTTATTAAGCAGTGGCAGTAAGTACCCTTATTTTTAGATTTTGTTTTAATCAGGAAGTGGGGTTGGCTTCTATATGGCGGATTTTCCTGTATTTGTTGATGTGATCTTGTTGGTGCTGGTCTGCAGGTCTGCAACTCAGTATGCTGCGTGAGGCGTGCTTCATGGGCTTTGTGGGAACATGGAATTTCGAGAGAATGGGGTTTCCCTATGGGCTCTTGGAGGGCCCCTGTATTGACTGCTTTTTGAAGGGTGGAAGAGCCTTGTGTTCCTGGAACCAGCTCAGTCTGGTCATGCTGCGTAGTTCTGGGCAGGTGGTTGGCTTCGACTTGGGGACGTCTCAGGTGACAGGGTGTGTCTGCTCGTGAAGGACAGTGGGCTGTCGGTGGCTTGTGATAGCTCGTGTCTCGTTCCCTGAAGTCCAGCGTCTTGGACATCATCCGTGCTGATATTCCACCTGGTGTTTCAGGCGTCCCAGAAGGGACTCTCCATGTTTGCTAGAAAGCTGCTGTTCCATTTTTGCTGGAAGTGGAAATCCCCCAGCTCCCTTTGAAACACAAAGTTCTCGGTTCCCAGCCCAGAGTCAACAGGTGAAAGGAGTAGCCACCTACCCTGGCCCCCCAATCAGCTCTAGAAAGTTCTTAAATTCATCAGGTGGATTCTGACTCATAGTGACCCTATAGGACAGAGTAGAACTGACCCGGTAGGGTATCAGAGGCTGTAATTCTTAACCGGAGTAGACAGCCTCATCTTTCTCCCATACAGCCACTGAGGGGTTTGAACCACCAGCCTTTCAGTGGGCGGCCAAGCACTTAACTCCTGAGCCACCACGGTCAAGAAGGCTCTACATTCAAGTTGATGCTCCACAAAAAAGGAGGCCCTGTCTTCCCAGGACCCCATCACCCCCCTGTTGAGAAGCAGGGGAAGGGCATGACTTCATCTTAACTGGAATGCTGGGTCCCGCATGTGCAGGGGCTGGTGTTCCTGTGACTGAAGGGATGGGTCCTCAGAGAGGAAGAGGTAGGAGGACCCTGTGAGTCTTCTTCCTTTATGTCTCCTTGGCAACTACTGCTTACACATGATTCCCTGCTTGCTCAAGAAAGGCCTCTTGTCCTAAACAGTTCATGTTCAGACCCAGAAGGCGCCTTCCTAGCACACCTTTCTGTGGTGGGAGAATGCTTGCTTCCCAGACCCGTTGTCTGCCCTTCCACCATTGTCTGCTTCTCTCCGAGCCTCCCCCCCCACCCTGCAGACACCAACACCCAGAGGACAGGGACCTTACACCATGCTGTCAATATGCTCCCTCCTCTAGGAATGACCATCGAGTCTGGAGAAGGGATGACCTACTTTGTGCCCATCTTTGAGGGCTGCCCTTTGCGTCAGTCGATCATGAAGCTGGACATTGCTGGACAAGACCTAACCTTGTACTTACTGCAACTGCTGTCAGAGAGTGGATACTCATTTGTGAGCAGAGGTAGGCAATGCTACTTTCAGCCTGGTAGCCCAGTCCTTGGAACATAATAGCCTTCTGGGCTTGCAACAACTTACAG